AGGGGGAGAAAAGAAGAAAAATCATGTTTTGGGCCCAACAGATAATTATTTTTACATAAGGAGCATGATCTGTCCTAGTAAAACAGATGGGACAATAAATGTAAACTATGTCATCAAGTTGTTATTCCTTAAAAAAAAAAAAAAAACCACACACAAACCATGCTACTGTAAATTACACATTATCTTCTCTGAGTCTTAAACACTTTCCTGTTACTACTGCTTAATTTTTTATTTCTCTGCAGTCTATTCTAATAATCCATCATTGTGCTACCGGTAGGGAAGGCTTGAAAATTAGTCATTTTTAATTCCAATTACATTTCATGCAAGCAGCAAAAATACATTTCCATTTTTCACTACAAAATTTAATCTTTTGTGTCTCTAAGTTTCTTATAAGTCACTAATGTTGAAGACCACCATAAAACAGTAAACAGCACTGGGTACAAAACCACTTTGGGCTTAAGAAATAAGGTAAATAATTTTAGTAGCCCATTTCAGACACAGTGCAAAGATTGAATCCACAGTTTGATATGCATAACAAACTAAGACTGTTTGGCAAAACAGTCCTGCAAATAAGCATTGTTTGCTGCATTACCTCAGAACAAAGTGCTCAAATTATTTGAAGTCTGATGTCTGCCCGGCAATGACTGTAACTGTTCTTTTTGTGTTTTCTCTTCCAAGATTGAGGAGCTCTAGTCTCTACCTTGGCTCTAGTCTCTGTACTTGGCTACACAGGCAAGTTTCTAATCATGAAACTGGGAACTGTTTTAACATATAAATCTATCCTTAAGAGAACCTAAGGGATGAGGTTCTGCACTACTAGTTTCACTGAATTTCAATGAATAGATGATAATCAAGGAAAGACATCGCAATTTAATTTGCTCCACAGAATAATCGTTGACATTAGTAAAATTAATAGAAATAAAAGAAATCCAACCATTTTATTACAGCTAAGCAGAGTTTGTAAGTGATGATATGTCCATCCTCTTTCTATGAACTATTAATACTACAACTACAGTATTTTCTGTCATTATTTCTTGAAAGTTGTAGTACTAGCATTTAAAAAGCTGAAGAAATATTCATGCTCATCATTCTCACAAGCAAAATTAAACCTGAAAATAAAGTATCAGCCAGTAAGTTTTCTCATATTTCAAAGTTTCAGTAGGATTCATCAGGTTTCTAAATTATTTCATACATGGGTAATCTGCCACCTATGGATAACAGAAAAAAAGCGACATACTGGGTATCAAAAAAGTGGCTTTAAGAGAAAGCAGATGATCAGGCATGATGTCAGGAAAGCTTAACCTAATTGCTATATCCAAAACGAAAAGGAAAAAAAAAAAAATCTCAGTTTGCTTTCTTCCTTTAGTTCACCTTAAGACTATTTAACATCCCTTGTCAGAACTTAACAATTAAAGCATTACACAAGGTATCCTATTTTTGGTGTCTACGTTCGGTAGCAGAAAAATGTGATCGGGAAAACATTCAAAACAATTTTATACATTACACTTGACCCTATCACTCCATTAAAAAAAAAACCCACGAACTTCCACTTCATCTCTCACGAAATGGTTAACAATGTTGTATCATAAAGCATAGGGGTTTTTTTCTCATACCATTACACTAATTTGATTTTTGTATTGTAGGTCACCTAGAAACAATGCTATGTCACATACATCAGATTAGTTTACAATTAACCTGCTTGTTATGCCTCCTCAGACGAGCAGAGGCTACCACTCAGGCTGATCTCAAAAGTATATGACAAACAAGAATTCATACCTATATGAAAAAAAAAGGGAAGGGGAAGGAGAACAAATCCACCCAATAGAAACCTTTTTTTTTTCAGCCCTAGTCAAAACCAAATACTCAAAATTTGACTGCTCTGTCTCCATAAGTTTTTGAGTTAAGCTATAATCAAGTATGGTCTCTAGCTGCAGAAATGACTTTATATTAAAAAGTCGAGTCTCCAAGTTCTCTTTCCTCTATATACCCAAAGCACTACTGATAGTCATATATTTTTTCTTCTAAATGACAAATGTTTTAAATGATTTGGAACTGAAGCAGCTCTTAATATTTTCAGGTAGGCTTCTGAATGGATTAACAAAGAGAAAAGGCCTGCCCATTCCATTCCTACCTGACTGGGCTTAATCTTATTTAGACTATTTGTTTCTTCTCGCCCCAGCCACTTGTAATCTTAACCTGCAAACAATAAAGGAATTTGCACCCACCAGCTCTGTAAGTACCAAAGGTTAGTTAAGAGAGGGAGCTTCCCTATGGTTTTATCACTAAGCACTAGTCTTGTGTAACAAACTCTCAGACTACCTTCTATGAATTGGAGTGGAAAGAAGGGATACAACATAATCTTCTATGCAATTATTTTCCCCTCTGTTTTAACTAGAAAGTGTTATAAAGATCCTTCCTCAGATTAGAAGCACTTTGCTCAACAGGAAATAGTCAAAAGATAATACGCAGTGCAGTGAACACGCTGCAGTTCACGTAATGAATGAAATAATGTGAAGTACATAACTCTCTTGTGTTATAATTTCATAACAGCGGTAACACATCTAACTTCACAGCACCAGTTCAGCTCAAGACTCATCTTCTGATCAACAGCTTTCAATGTGATATGTAGACTGTATGGGTCCATAAATCCCTACAAAAGAGTAAGACTATCTGATTTGGTTTTGCTGAGCAGACAGTGAAAAATGTGTAGGAATTCAAAAAGCAAAAATGACTGAAGACTTCCCTTAGACACTCCCTATAGCCTATATACTAATGAACACATGCATGCTAGATATGGCAAAATATAACACATATACGTGTAATTGTGCTAAAAATAATTAATGCTCTATTACTTGTAAAACTGTTTCTGGAAAAGGCATTATATAATACAATGTCCCAGATAGCCTGTCAGCAGGGACCAACTCATAAGCATTTTATCAAAAAATATGAACATTTAATCACAGAGTTAAGTTTCCGCAATTTCAAAGACCAAGATGGGCTTACATTTCTGGGCCCAAAATTGAGGTTAGAACGGCTGACAATAGCAGAAACAAAATAAGAGAATTGAGCCAAGCAGCCATCTGTTGTTTCCAAGTGCCCAAAATAATTTCTGAAGTAGTTCAATCTCTACTTCCCATAATACTCTTTCAAAGTGCAAGTACCTGCAGAGTGTGACTTCTTATTTTTGAGCATGGCTCCCCTCCCCCACAAAAGCAATTTGGTTAGTGTAAAATGTTGCATGTGAGAGAGCAAACGCCTTTACCCGAGTCCTGTCTATTGCACACAAAGCCTAGCTGTACTAACATACTGACGTGACAGTATGATGCAAGCCTAGAGGTCCTCTTCTTACTTTCACAAAATGCAGAGTGCTGCAGAGCCGTACAGCCTACTGTCAACTCTCAGAACCACAACATATTCCTGTACTTTTTGCATCATCCACACATGAAGTCTAACGACCTATACACATCAAAATTCAAACAAAATCCTCACCTCCCCTCAACAGAAAACCCCATTTACCCAGGTTTAAGGCTGCATTGCCCAGTGCCAAAACAGATCCACAGCATCAGAATGCCCTTCACTCATCCAACAGCTGACTTTTAAAGGTGCAGCTACAAAAAAAAGCAGGTAAAGATGGCAAACCTAGAACTACCAGTTCACACTGCAAAATACTGTCACTGGCCTGGTTATTAAATCCTTGCATTTTACAATTAATCTTGGTTTGTTGTTGGGTTTGTTTGGGTTTTTTTTTGGTTTTGGTTTTTTCCACAAATGCAAGGCCCTGGGTGGGACTTTTCCTTATATTTCCGGCTTTTTTTTGGTCCAGGTTTTAGGGTTTTTCTTGGGGAAAAACAGACATTAAATTAGTTTATACTTTACAGAAAGAGACAAAACACATTACCTGGTATCCAGATTCTAATCTCCGTGAAGATTCTCTTGCACTATATGCACCAGCTAAACTGTTTCCAGTCAATGTTCTAGATCCTAGCGAAGAGCTGGAGGCCTGAACAGATATCCTTCGAGGAATTCTTGAGGGTTTTGACTCCATTCTTTGTATCCTGTATAAGGACACACTGATTATTTTTTCTTTTAGAAGCAGGGACCTATACACAAAACACGCACAAGTCATTCTGAGTGTATCACAAATATGACTCACACATACAAATACTTACACAGAGCTTTGGTCTGACTGTGCATCAGTAAGATGGGGAAATGAGTTCTTACCCTAGTTTTTGTAACCTCCTCTTTACATCTCCTCCCATTCCGTGTTACAAAACTAGGAACATAGCCCCTTTGGCTACTTTTATATTATATTACAGTATATTCTTGCTATCATATTACAAGTGGGACTCCCTTAAGAACTCTGCAGCACTAGTATTAACAGAAAATGAGGC